TCCATACAATTTGAGGTTATATGTTCAGATCACCATTCTTTTTTTTTTCAAGAGGAAAGCAGATGTCTATTCTCATTTTGTGTTTGGTCATTTTAACGAGGTAATGAACGATAAGCTGTCATCAATTTTATGAGCCATTTTAAGCCTGTACGCTACTTGATGGTGGCTCGACCCAAGATGCCATTTCTAAATTATTCTTTTATCCCTTTCGCCTTTCGATCTAATTTATCCCACAAAAAAATAAAAGATCTACTTGGCAAAGTTAATGTTACCCAAATAAGGTACATTAAGCTGCACTTGAATGAAGGCCACGTGCGACGCTCACTGATAAAAACAATCAGGAAAAGACAAATGCAGTTTTTGGGAAACTTGAATAGACATAAAGGTCTTGAACATCTAGCTCTCACTGGCAAAACTGAAGGCAAACGAGGCAGGGGTAGGCCCAGAGCAACGTAGTTAGAAAACTGAACAGATGGGTAACGGAGAAAGATCAGGGTAATGTAGCTTTTTTCAGATAATCCAAGCAAAGGAATGAACGGAGAACCATGATTGCCGATGTCTGCCGCAGATATGGCACAGGCTGATGATGACGTTAATCAAGAAAAGCACAAAGAAATAAACAAAAATAAATACTTCTATAACAGAGAATTTGTCTATTAAAAATTATGTATTTTATTCAGTGACACAAAATTTATTTTCATTCAAAACTGTACTGTAGACATCGCTGCCATCTCAAGTAATGCAAAGGTAAAATGAGAGCAAACTTATCACTCAAAACTTTATTCTTATCACAATGGCACATCTGTATTTTTTAAAATTGAGCAAAACTTTACTGTTACTATCAACAACTTAAAATCTCACCCTACTTCTAAATCTTACCAATGTAGAAATATATATTATAATCTCAAACAACTTGGATAAAAAGTGGTAAAATAAATCATAATTGCATGTAATCAAAATTTGACAATTGTTTGCTACTTTTGTCATGAAAATAGCCCAAAATATAGAGCTATTAAAAAATAATAGGATCATTGTATGGATGTCATGTAAGTGTCAACATTAAAGCAGAGGTTTCCTCATTGTTGGCACAAAATTCACACTTCAATTTGGAGGATTTTCATGTACAGAACAATGAGAAATTGCTTACAAAAGTATGATAGCTTTGCACTTTATGAAAATCAAAGAAGAAAAAAATGCTACACGGATATGTTTAGTTTGGTAAGAGTATTATCGCGCTCACAAACCACAATCACAATGCATATCCTTGACAGCACAAAAAATAAAGAGCATTTTTATCTGTGTGAACAAAAAATCACAAGAAGAAAACAATGCCCTGAATGAATACTTCAACTGAACACTTTTTAATAATCCACATGAATATATATTATTCTAAATAGAAGATTACAAAAACTTAAAACATTCACTTTCAAGTCTCTCAGGTTGCATCGGAGGAGAAGCAGAAAGTCTGCATTTTTATATTCATTTCACAGCGTACACAGTATTAGTCATTTTGTATTCTTTTGAGAGAAAAAGTTTTGTTTACACTCTCTCCTTTCAAACACGAACATGAAGACGGTAAAAAAGTCAACACTCTCTTCATCACTTACTTCCAATAGTTCATCTAATGCAAATAGGAATAACATGTTATAATTCTCATTTAAGCTATGACAATGGATTTCTGCAATAGAAGCAATCAAAACATACATTTTAGGTATGATTGAGTCAAGGTCTTGATACTTGATGTGTATGTAAAGAACTTTATGTAAAGAGTGACATGTTCAAAAGGTTCAAATGTTGTTCATGTGATATATAGTTTATCTGTACACTTTTTCTTTGAGATCACCTTTAGGGATCTGGAAAAGTAATTATTTGCACTTGTTTTGCCTTTACATCACTAGAACTGTGTTTTGTTTGAAATTGAGGCCCTTCTAAGCACAGGAAAGGTTGCTTTCACAATGATGAACTAGGTTGACTGTGAATGGACTGCTATCAATAGAACACAATTTGCGTCGACCTAGCCAGGGCCTTCACACCTCTAGGTTTGCTAGGGCTGGGATGATGCCACAGTAGATGTCGATGCCGCGGAGGAAAACTTTCTCGTTCAGTCGCTCGTCATGGTCGTGAAGGAGAATGGGTGTGTTGTTCATCGGAGAGAAGCCTATCATGTCTACACCCGCCTGTGAACAGAAATCCAAACATGACCATTTACTAGCTCTGTTCTCCTTTCAACAATCTTAAATAAGAGACATAAGAGGTATGTCGATAGAAAATGTCAACAAATGACCACCAGACTCTTCCCTTTTCTCACATATCCCTCGCCTGAATAAGATAAGACAAGATAAGATTTAATTCATCTTTATTGTCTAGCCACTGGAACTTTGGTTTGCTGTTTCACCACAAACACAAATACACACACACACATACATAAATACTCTCTCACACAATAAATTAATACCATAACTTACTAATCATGAAAGTTGTACCTATGTGTGAACATATGCTACTCGAGGCATCATTTTATGACGGGTATCTTTGAAACTCTTCTTTGTCTTCGTATCAAATTAATTACAGAGTTATAACAACCTAAACATACACAATTCTTTGCTTTGCCTCTTTCTGACAAAGACAGTCTGAGTATGACAGAGATTCCATTTCATGCTCGGATTTATGTCTATTTTCAGATCCTTCATTGGTCCACAAGTAACAGAGCGTGACCCGAGAGAAACTCTGAGACCTAACAGGTAAGAGAAAATTTAATTTCTAAAAGACACTCTTTTCAGACAATAACTGATTTGAGCAAGATTTACTATTTTATCTGTCTAACGACATTCTGCAGGTTGGAGAACATGCTTAAAAAAGGGAATAAGAACTATGCCTTCCTTAAAACATATTTGTGTCACGAAGCAGTGGAATCAGGCTCTCTTCAGCTTTCGGGCAAGTAGAGTTATTGGTATCATCTTAAAGCTTGATCATTCGTCTTGCTTTGGATGAAAAAATATCCATTTATCTTGAATGAAAGTCGAGATATTTATGAATGAAGGAGGTGAGGTTGTCTGGTTTCAAAGGTTAAATTAGTGAGAAAATAGCAGCCAAAGACGAGTTATTTCCTTAGCTTGAGAGTCTGTGGAAACTGAAAATTTACATTTTTTGTGCCTTTAATCAACGTTTTTCAGTAAAATTCACACAGAAATGTGTTCTTTAATGGGCATGAATGAAAGGTGTTGAGCCAAAATACAAAAATTTGATAAAAATTCCCAAACCTCCAGAAAAATGCCAGTTTCTTCACTTTGATTATTTTGATGAGCACTTGATTTCACCACGCTGCCTCACATTTTAATTTTGTTATATTATGTAATATCAACAAATACAAAACAAAGAACAACAGCTGACATAATTGACAAAAGACCAAAACCAAAGAGAAAAACCGGTGCGGTAATATCAAAAACAGTTGTCCTTACCTTTCTGAAAAAGCGGCTGTCTGTTCCTGCAGGGAATATCTCTGGTTGAATCTCAATCTCCCTGTGAACAATGTACCTTTATCAAAATTTTGCATATACTTTACTTTACTTACTTTTCCGATCCAGCGGCCACTTGGGTTCTAGCCCATCGGTCTGGCAAATTTTGCATATATATAAAAACACTGAAGTGTCATACAGAAATTTCTGTAACAAAAAATACAGACATGGTCCAAAACATTCCAAATAATATACAGTCTCGCCTACTGTAACGGCCACCTGTCTATGACAATTGTCAGTACAGATCAAACTAGTTCCCACTTTCCACTAGTATATTTTCTACATCCATCTTATCTATTTAAGACAACCACTTTTCTCCTCAATAATGGTCTTGAACAATTTTCATTGTATATGCCTTGTCTAAAAAAAGTATGAAACACTTCCTCAAAATCATGACAATAATATTCTTAAAATAGAATCTATTTCTGTAATCCCTCGACGTAAACTTAACAAACCTTCCACAACAAACGAGAGAGAATTTTAACCCTCCCGCATTCTGAAAAGTACAAAATGACCACAAGTTAATTTATTTGGAGTAGCATTTCAACTTATGAGAAAAAAAGTCGGATAACTTGAATTTTTGAGCCACTTACACAGCCTTGCAGGCAGAGGAGAAGGCCTCCCACCATGGGTTGTCTTTACTGATCTTTACCATCTCAGTGTTCTCTCCATACTAGAATGAGGTGGAAATTAGAAAAATAAATATTTTTCAAAAGAAATAAAGACATTTGTAAAATACTAGACTCATATGAAATCGGGTTAACAACTCTGCTCGTCTCTATGAAATAAAATAAGAAGAGACTGAAAATAATTTAAAAAAAAGAAATAAAACCATGATGTATGTAATGAAGATTACAACCATTTGTACTACTTCATGCTATGGGACTGAGTTTGACTCAGTAAATGAAATAAACTTGAATTTGCAAAACAAATAATAATGAAAACAAAATGTTTAGTATCATCTGTCTGTCTTAATTGCCAAAAGTGGAAAATGCTCTTGTTCTAAAATAATTTTTACACTGAGAATAAACATAACATTTACTATAATACAAAAATTAACATAAAGATGGTCAGGATAATTCTAAGGACTCTCACATAAAGATAATACAGCAAAAACCAGTGTGGACTCGTGCTGGGTTACCGTGCCAGCAGTACAAAACAAAGTTCAATTAATCTGCTTCAAAATTAAACTCTGGGTCAAGTACCTTTTGTTTCAGTTAGCATTTTACAACACATGCAACACCATTACGTCATATAAGTGCTGAAGATTAGAGGGCTTACAAGTACAAGAGAGTAACAAACACAAAAAAGGGAAGAGAGATAACTACGATTGATGTTTAACTAGGAAAGGAGCAAACCACACCAAGGCACCAGCTTACACCTTTTCAAAAATATCTAATGATACCTAGCATGGAGATTAACTCAAAACAAGTCACTCACAACTAGGAACTCAACAGACACTTGCGTTCCAGCCTCTTCACACCACTGTTGTATTGTAGCCTTCAGGGCGGCAAAGTCTGTGGTAGGCGGGATCCGCATGTCAAATGCTGAAAAGAACAGATAGCAAAACAAATAGATCATTTCTCAGTAAAAGATTTGTTGAAGCAAAATTAAAATAGTCTGACCGTGTGACTCTAAAGATGATAATCCCAGTCGAAACGATGAAGAGTTTGTCAATCCAAATCAATATCATCTGTGCCACCCCAAAAACAAATTCAGTTGGATCTACACGATGATGTAGAAATAAAATTGCATCTCTTTTCTGAAATTGCCAATGCCGCATATAACCCAGTCAGTTCATTATTTTATGGCAGCAGAAGAGCGAAAATCGGGAGGTACATATAATTCAAAGGTGAAAATGACATTTCCAGTATTGTTCTGACTCCAAGAGAACACAAATTTAGCTTTATGTCTTTTCTGAACATAATAGAACACACTCTTCAAGTCAGACAGGGATGCAAACTTCTCCTCTAATTCTTTTAAACCCAACTTGCCAATTTTACCATTATCATCCCTTACCTCTCCTTCACGCCCCGCTCTCTGCCAACCTCCCCCCTTTTCCACATCCTCCACAACCCTCCTCATCTCAATCACTTCCATCACATCAGTCTTAGAGATATGGAAAAATGATACCTCTTCCTCCACTTCTCCATCCTTTTTCTCCTCCTCCTCCTCCACTCCTTAGTCTCTTTCAACATACCAGAAGGCATGTAGTTATGAGTTACCTACTTGCAGACAATTCAGCAGGTACAACGTTGGGTTGGACCCCTCCCTGTGGAAACAATATCAGTTGTGTTAGTAGACACATTGACTTAGCTCTCACACAGAGTCTGAACTACAACAGGTAAAAAGGAACAAAGAAAAAAACAATAATAGAGTGAGCAAGATAGAACAATATTTCATATAAACAGCTATGGTTTTGCCAAACAACCGGATTGGGATGAAAGAAAAAAAAAAAAAGATTGTAATCACCATTATTGTCATCATTGTAAACATCACCATTGTCACCACCGTTGCCATTACCATCATCATCTTCACCATTTTTAGAACATAACTGCCATATGATTTTGGATTTATGCACATCTCCAATTTTCACAGAGAAATTACTCAAAGACAATACAGACCAGAATTAAGCGCATTTTCAAATACAATTTTCATGGAACAAGACCTGGTACAAAAATAAAAAAGAGAGAAAGATACAAGACCAAAAAAAAAGGAATCTGCTCCCCAAAAACAAAAACAAAACTTGAGTTTCACCTCTAACATTGTCATGTTAACAGTAGTCACAGCTCCGATGCCAGCATTTGGGTTTGCCTTGAATCTGAAATTCATGGAAAACATAGAGACTCATCAGCCCAGGGATAAGGTGCTAACCTCTAAAGTATTGGCAGGTTTTTAACACCCCTAGTTGTTCCAGGATAGTTAGGAAAGAGATTCTAGTATTCTCTAAAAAAAAGAGGAATAAAATCTCAGGATAAAACACAGGTCAAAGAAAGCTAAGAAACTCAATTTGAAGAACAAAAGTTGAGAGGTCCCTATCCAGAGAAAAAAAACCCACCTCAGGCCAAGGTAAAAAATAAAAAAACCCAGTACCTTCAATTACAGCATGTGGCTGACTGACTGAAAGGTGAGTAAAACTACATTCCCATTTAAAAAAGGGCCATATAATATGCTTATATCAGTAACACATTGGGCTGGAGAATTTTGAGTCAAACATACCTAAGAGCTCAGTCCTATCAACATACATGAGGAATTTAGACACGAAATACAGGGGAATAAACTTGAAGCCATCCATCAAGACTTTTAGCATTTGAGCATTTTACTAACCTCAAGAATGAGACTCCATGCATTATTCAATATGAAATTGAAATAGGTAATGGTACAACTTCGCCAATGAAATCAGAATCCCTCAAATCACCATGTAAAAATATCTTTAAATTTAAATTCGTAACTGTCTTAATTCATATTTAAGTGAATCAATGAGAACAGTTTCATCAGTCTTCCAAGTTTGACAGTTCTCTTACATTAACTTATACAAGCACCCATTTTATAGGATTATAGTGAAGTAATTGAATCAGAGTTTAAGAAGTTATTCACCTTTATAATGAAAAAAGCTGTTCCCTGTTTACTTACTTTTTCTCCTGTTCATCCCGAAAACCCAAAAACTTGTTGATGATAAATTGCTGAAACAGATAGAGAGCATTGATAAAAAAGCCAAGTAATAATAGAAATGTCACAACACTTCTGTGAGTATACAACATGTTCTTTATTTCGTGCAGAAAGAATATGAGTATCAAGAAGTTAAAAGAGGGACTACAAGTATTAATTAATCCCCAAAAAAGGATTGCATCTGGTTACTGCTCATTTTACTGACAGAAGGACAAAAGGTAAAATAATGTAAAATGAGGGGGGAAAAGTGTCTATTTCTTCAAACAAGAGTATAGCACACATTCAGGAAAAATGGAAACAACACATTCAAGGGAACACTACAATATAAGCAAGAAACTCAGACACTGACTGAAATAACCGGTGTTTTGAACACCAGCTGCAGAGGAATAAAGCATATAAAGAACTTCACCAAAACGTGGACATTCACAATCCCAATCACTGCAATATCTGAGCTGTTCCTGATTTTCCTCCAATCATTTTCTCTCAATCCTGTGTTTAATCAGAGGAAAAAAAGTCTATGATCAACAGAGCATACAGTACAATGTTAAACTTGAAAGAATATACTCTAGCAAATAGTAGGCTACACTGCTAAGTTGGAGTGAAAAATGTTTGACTTTACCAATTTCTTTGCTGCTGTATTCTCTATAAACATAGAGGCATGACCTGGCTGGCCTTCACACTTGATTTTCATCCCTAGACAAAAAGAAGAAGTCCAAAGTGAGACTTGAGATACGCTAAGACAAAATGAGAACAGATGAACTGTCACAATTCATAAAGTTAAAACAAAAATAATATAAAAATATTCAAATTTTTATTGACTGTAAGTAAAAATTTCAAAAGTATTGAAAGGACTAAAAATCATACCTAGTCTCTACAACAACAAACATGTAAGTGTACACATAGTATTTAATTCCACAGGACTATTTATATACAATCACATGAACAGCATTCAAGTCATCTGCTACAGAACAAAAAGAAAAGGTGGGGGGAGGAGTGGAAGGCTTATTGGAACATAAATGCTACAACTCCGAATGGCAGACCTCCAGCGCATTCCTTACATGTTTTAATGTCAATCAGCTTTTCAGTCTTCATAATTCCAAAGTCAAAGTAATTAAAGCAAGATTTCATTCTGCATAAGAAACACTTACACCAGATAGACCTCTCTCCATAGAAGACTCGCATTGTGTTGCCAGGGGAAGCAATACCTGTCAAAAAATACAGAAATTCTTTAGTCTTACAAAAATACAGGAACAAAAAGAAAAGACATAAGTGATAACTGATCCATAGGAGAAAAAAAACGAGGTACAACCTTGAAAACAAGAGGGATTTAAAGTCAGAAATGATATAAGATCCAAACTGTTTTTATCCTTCTGAGAATATTCACGAAAGCCTGGAGAGGAGCACTGATGTCTGACCAAGAGTTTAGATTCCAATATGACCTATTCTGTCTCTGATTTGGGGGTTTTAATTTTTTAAAATTGTTTTAATGTTCTTTCATGAACAATGACAAAGCAATTGTGAAAGAAGATATGAATCACTTCTAAGCTCTATCAGGAACATTCTTTTAGATTTTACAAACATAATAAACACTGGCCCAGCTGCGGCATGAGTGAATTTACTTTCATGCTAGTTTTCACTCCACTTCATATTAAACCATGTCATGACTTAAACTTAAAACAAACACCAAGGAATAATTTTCTTTTCCCTATATCTCCATAGCTCACTTCATTATTGCCTACCTTCATCAAGTCCAAACCTAATGTTCAAATCTTTGAAAGCTTTGCTTTCACTAAAACCTTTACTGGGAAGACTGCCAATTTCTTCATCTGAAAAGCAAACACAAAGAAACAAATATAATACAACACAAACAAACAAGCACTGGTAGAATACTAACGAAACCACTTGCTACCCTGAAAACTGCAAATCTAAAAGAAAAAAATTCTTGGTCAATAACATAGAAGGAAAAAAAAGTATGACAGTAAAACAGAAGAATCCTGGTTCGTCAAAGTAACATCCTTCTACTTTGTTTTCAAGGGAGTAAATTAGCAGAAGAATATAATAAGTATCTATTTTGAATGTTAAATCTCAAAATATCTTTTGTCTAACACAGCCATAAAACATGCCATATACTTGATTTATTTTAATCATTGAAATTAAGCATGAGAACATGAATGCAATAAAATGAGGATTTAAGATGCTATAAACTTTTCACTATCTTTTCCAATTCAGAAAAGCGTGCAACCATGTCCACACACTCACCTAAAAACCAGTTATTGTATCTAAAAGTTAAAATGCAGGACACTTGGTTTTAACTTGGGACATCAACAAATGTTTTTAAAAAATGTTAACGCCTCATAAATAGAGAACGTAAAAAATATGGGGGGGGGGGGGGGGGGGGGGAGACACTCGACAATAAAGGGAAAAAGCAATAACATAACAAGCAAAAAAACAGAAGATGTAACACATCATATCAGTTCCATGATCATCACAAACCTGAGGTGAACGATAAATGTATCGTTCTCGTAAATGTCCTCCCCTCAGCTTTGAACCTTCTAATAGCTTCAAGATACCTAGTAGAAAGTATGGAAATATCATTACAGACGGCTGGGCTCTCACCAATATCTCTTTAATTTTTGCAGTCGTAACAATCATAGTCTATGGTGAATTTGGTGCAGTAACAACACATTTCAGCAAGAAAAGGATAGGATACTACACTATAGGCAATACTGATAAGAAGTAAAAGGAGCAGATCTCACTAGAATGCTCATCCAAAACCTAAATTCAATAATTTTGAACATGCAATGTCCAAAAGCACAACCAATATTTAAATCTTGAAATAAGGAAGGAGAGAAGACACTCGTTTAGTCTGAAAAAGTACTTACACTCATTATTATATTCACTTGAGCAAAGACACCTATAGGAAAGTACAGAAAAGCAAAGATACAGAAAAAGACTATTTAATTTAAGAGATAACTCAATTTCAACACCAAAATGCAACTACTCTGACAATACTATAAGACAGTTATGACAATAATACTTAGATGTATGTATTTTTAACAAAATAATTAAAATAATCTGTACCACAAGAAAAATAAGGGGGGCTCTCGTGGCCTAGAGGTTAAGGTGTTGACCTCTCATTCAAAGGTCCCGGGTTCGATTCCGGGTAGCGACCGAAAAATTTTCTTCTCTAAATTTGTCTCCTTTCACCCCATTTCCTGCTCTCTAGCATTGTTCTGTCGTCTGCTTTCGTCTCCTCTTTCTACCCCCACCCCTTCACCTCCTTTGCCCCTTCCTCTGGGCTCCTGATTTTTTCTGCAGCCTTTCTACTGCTACTCCTTCGCTTCTTCTTACTGCTGTCTTTCAGCCACACCCCTGATCTTCTGGTAGGAAAGATCTACACTTAGCCTTCTCGGACAAGGGCAAAAAATCTCGGAGGGCCTGTGTGCAAGTTGCGCACGTTAAAGATCCCTTGGTGGTTTAAAATTGATAAGAGTAGGCTTCGGCCGCCACCCGGGCAAATTCAAAATTTTCTACCAACTGAAAATATTAGGTGGGTCCCGCGCGCTCATATGACCTTATGCAGTTGCGAGCGCCGTAAAACACTTTACAAAAACAAACAAGAAAAATAGAAGAATAAAAAAATCACACTGCAGAAGTTAAAACTCGTAGTATGTGTCTAAAGGAGTAAAAGTACGTTTTAAGATTTACAAAATACACCATTATACAAGACATGTACAAAAAATAAGAACATAACATAGAGCACCCCTTATCAGTGAACAATAAAACAAAACGCCAATAAAACGATCAGCACAACTTAATAAGATTTGCTGGGAATGAAGGAATGACAGATGGACCTGTCACCCAGCACAGCAGCTGGTCACTACTCCAATGCTCAGCTCATTGATTAGACCCACAGAATTAGGAAAAACACTGATGGTGTATTTTTCAATCTCTTCTTGAGAGTCCCAAATCTCTCACTGGACAATGTCAGTAAGTGAGTAGGATGAAAAACTTCAGCATTTTAATGACATTGAATGGTATAGCACTAAATCTCAATTCCATGCTCTGAAGACAATAAAAGCACTTTGACAGCTACTAACTTCAAGAAAGAAAAAGTATCCGTAGAATCATAACTACTGACATTGTGACAGGTTCTTTCCTTCAACATCATTACAGCCACAGCGTAGAGACTATTGCACTGTCTGCCCTTTTCCCCTCATCTAAGATCAAATTTGAACATTCGATACTCGGAGCACTCAGCTCAATAACCCATTAAGCTAAAGCCCTATAAGGAATGAAACACACAGATATAAGATCTCCAGCATTCAATTACCAAGTGTGGACAGTTTGAAGAATCTCCACTAAGTGTTACATGTATAATCCTGGATTCTACATTACAAATGATTTAAAGACACCACATCACAAGTTTTTATACATAATATAGTGTGTTCTTTGATGCTTTGACCATTTCTTTCCAAACCGATTTTATTCAAGGACAGATTGTATCTCAAGGTAAGTATTGTCTTTCATAGCTACTACTGAATTTAAAACGACAGTATAAAAATACCTAATCTAAACAAATTTAGTTGCCCATATGTGGATCACAACTTAAGAAAGGGAATCCTACTGTAAAACATGCAGTCAATAAAAAAAATTTTCAATACGAAAGACACACAGAACACTTACCAACTGGAGACGCATTTCATGTCCTGGAAATCACCAATAAAACGAAGGTTAATGTTTGCACAAACCTTACAAATTCACTAATTTTTGGGTTGTTTTTTTTATTTGGGTCTTATAAAATGCCATTTATCGTGAGTAGCCAATTCACTTCAGTTCATATTTATGAAAGTGTACGCTTTGCATAGCTTAAATTTTTTTTTTAAGTTATAAAGATCAATATGAAAAAAAGAATAAGCGGACTAATTAAAGTAAAAAAACATGGTAGGCCTACAGTGTAGAATAAGACAACTTTAATAAACCTTAAGCATGCAAGTTTTACTAATGAACATGAAATACGGACCTGGGACCCACGAGCGTAAATATCTCCATTGTCATCCTTGTCTGCACTGAAAGGTTCATGAGTCCACTTGTCCTGAAAATTGCAACCAGCAAGAGATATAAAACAATGAAATGCTTAAATCTATAATATTAAAGAACAGACAAAGGATGTTATGCATTAAGCCTGTCAGAGACAGCGTCAATTATGGATAGCTTTGTGTTCACGAAAAGTTCATCATTTATTAATTAAGGTTAAGAATTTGTTTTAATTGGAACTGGAATCGACTCAAGATAAAATATAATAAGATTAATTTCCTCTTTCATAAAGTCTTTTAAGAATGAACTATCAATTTTATTAAGCATAATAATCAGCACTACTATCACAACCACATGTATTTATTTAAAGAGACGCACTTACATAGCAGTTGAGTGACAGAAATAAGCTAAATTAGGAAACTTCAAAAAAATCTTAGGGGGGCCCAAAGTCAAAATTAGGCTCAAAATTATGGAATTTGAGTTGTAGACATTTTTAGCTTCCTCAGCCTCTCCTACAACTATTTCATGGCAAAAGAACCCCCAAAACCGTATTTTTTCCCATACCAGGCATGTTTGTCACCGCCATTTCCTCATAAAGTTAGTATTTAATTTTTCTTTATCGGCTGTTTTCTCAAAACGCAACTTTTCTCTATACTTTTTTTAATAACTCCACCATTTTTCATCCAATCTTCATGAAATTGTAACAGAATGAAGAGAAGATGTAATACTAAAAATTTGTCTGTTGAATTTAGAATTAAGGAATAGATTTTTGTTGGTGGTGTCTGGAGTGTGGATTTTCACGGATTTTTTGCAAACTTGAATGCTACCTCAGGAAAAAACTCATTAAAAATTTTCTAATTCGTTTAGGAAAAAAGCAACAAACTTTTTGATCTAATGTTTGTAAACACGCATGCAAAAAAACCAATCAAATTCCATGAGCGATAAGTGCGGTATTCATTATGCAAGACATGTCAACAAAATCCAATATGGCCGCCGTATCCATGGAAACGAAACTTTTTTCTTAAATTTGATGGCGGATTTTAAGACTCCTTACTATGCTTGTTATATGTGTCTGAAATTTGGTAAAATTCGATCAAGTAATAAGCGAGATACCCATCAGGTGTAGCCCCCCCCCCCCTCCCCCCTTAAGAATCTTTCAATCAAGTTTCATCCTCCCCACCATTATACACACACATGTTTTTATTTGTCTGTGATGGCGACAAAGACCATCTAGTCATCTTGGGGTCCTGGGGTGAGAGCATAGAAGACTGGTCAGGTCGTTCTGCACTCAGAAAGTTCTGTCACAATACAGACAAGGGATGGTAGCTGCAGTCAGAGACCTCTTTTTACTGTCTTGTGCTGCCCTGCATAGCTGCAGCAATTTATTTGCTTTCACAAATCCCTACCCTATGGTCGCCACTTGACTCTATTCCAGGCAGTCTGCATCCATTTTGTGAGGTCGATGCTGAAGGAGGAAGCTTGGGGGCTTTTTTCTTAACGTTTCTTCTAAACTCCATGAGAGAGTTGACCTTGTAGTAGTTCACCAAACAGTAATTTCTTTGGCTGCTGATGGTCTGGCATGCAGACTATGTAACCTGAACAGCAAAGTTGTGATTGCATTAAGATTGTGAAAACGCTAGGCAGGCCAGCTCAAGTGAACACTTCAGGGTTCAGAACATTATCCAGCCACTTGACACTTATGAATCTTCTGAGATAGGTGGTGAGATAGTGGTTTTGAATCCTGGCAAGGAGCTGGGTAAACATGATCCATGTTTCGCAGCCATAAACCAGAGTAGTTAGAACTATGAACTAATACACCTTGAGCTTGGTCACTAAGGTGATACCTCTCTCCTGTTCCATACATTCTTATGGAGTTTGCTGACGGTAGCGCTCACTCTGGTGTACCAGGCAATCACCTCAAACTCAAACACCTCAAACTCAAACACAAACATACAATGCATACATAATCAAAAAGACAAACACAATAACAAGACGAACCGGGAAAACTGGGACCACATCCATATGTGATGTCAGCAGAATGGCTTGTAATTCTGGCTTCGTTCCCTTCCACGTCATCAAGCCAATTGGTCGGTTTTCCACTCCAGACTGATAGAAAAAAGTGGGGGGTTTTTAAAAGGGGAAAGTACAAAGGATGGAATTTCCAATATCCCTTCAAATGACAGGCTCAGAGAAAGATAAAAATCCTTTCCATTACTCCATTTTTATAACTTACAACCAACAATGAATCATATTAATAACTAAAAGGTTGATCAATATTTTGTTCATGTATGCAGCTAGTACCAGAGTTATAAGAATAGAAAAAATAAATTATACTTTACTGACCCTCTATTGGAAAAAGCGACAGTGTACTGTGTGTTTTCAGCAACTTATTTGAACAAAATACAAATTCACAGTGAAAATACTTAGAGAACATAAGCATACACACGACCCCCTCCCCTCCCTCCTTCCCTCTCTCTCTTTCCTTCTCTCTCTCTCTGAGTGTCTGACATTACAAAAATTATAACACGTAAACAAAAACACCCACCTCCAACACTCGAAATTCCAGTCCAATTTCATCAGCTTGTTTTTTCAAGTATGCCAGTGCAGCATCTGGACAGACACAAAGCCATCAAGACATGTCTTGAAAAGTCCATAAGGACAGATACTTAGCCAGAGGGATAAAGTGAATAAGACAGTCAGAAAACAATAGATCATGGTGGAGGCCACGATACGGTATAAAAAGAAATTTAAAAAAAAACAGAATCAAAGACCAGTTAGCGAGAGAAAAATTCCAGAGTGCAGTCCTTTGAAAACATATGATTCAAGGACATCTTCAACAAAGTTTCACATGTCATATGCAATTGTTAGTTATCAGTGTGAGTGTGCCTCTCCTGTGTTAGCAAAGATCTTATCATACGTAGGGCTTGCTTTATCTTGATACTGTGTGTTATACTTGTACACATACACAAAAATTCTGAAGGACAGTAACTGCGACTGGATCAACAAAGCAGGTGGCCTTTGCAACATGTTGCTTTTCTCTCATAATGTTTTTCCTCGAATCTATGATTTTGAGTTTCATCTATATCTTCAACAAGTGGTGATCCTATTAAAGCTCTATTTTTAGAGATTTTTTCAATGATACGGTAGAACTGAACCTGCTCTAATGACCACCTGTATAAGACAATAATCTGCATAATTGGCCACTTCTCATGTTTCCCCTCATGTTTATTTTCACATTACTGTGTCACTGTGTAAGATGTCTACAAGTCTAAGAAGGCCACTTTGTTCCTTGACAATGGGTGGCCATTCTAGGCGATTTCGACTATTATTTTTATTACCTCTATTAATTGTCAACTTTTCTGAAGTGAATTTCTGAATTTAATGTAATCAGTTTAAGTAGGTATAGAGGTCAGGAATAAGAAATTAAATATAGGCCTACATCTGATGAAAGAACAACTAGACTTTAATCTATTTTCTTTAACAGTCCTGTTCTCTTTTCTAAGGTCCATAGGTCCATAACAATTTCAAGAAGATGACAAATAATCAGGAACGATAAGGGAAAGGGAAGATCGAACTTGTAAAATGTCAGTCCTAAAGAAAATCTTTTAATATTATTTTGTTTAGACCCAGATCTAATGAAAATTTCATTACAGAACACTGAACCCACTCGATCCTGGGTTCATCATGAACATTTTGATGTCTGTCATTAAACATCTGAATCCATTCCTTTACCACAGGCTACACCCTCACTCATCGAATTTTTTCGCTATAGGGCCTAAATTAAATAGCGTAGTCAGTAATCTGATCGTGTACCTCCCATGATTTCAAATTCTGAGCATTCAGGAAACAAATTTTTTTTTTAAATCTTAAGTTAAAGTCACACTTTAAACTTCTCTTGTTTTCCACATGAGGAGGTTCCTTGAGACAATAATAGATAGTTGTATTGCGCGAATCCCCGCTCAACGGCAAGCTCTGCACTTCACATACTATTACCAGCTAGTACCCCCCAGCAGACCTGAGAATATTCTGAAACAATCTCAACTTCCTGGGAAGCATACTACAGTGTAAGCAGCCATTTTTAATTTATAGGCACATAAACACTATAATAAACATATTGACGAGACCTTTCGATGTTTATGGCAAGGTACCAATTCTCACTTGGGTGAATAGAGGAAAATTGGTAAATTTTAACTTTCACTCCTGCACTCAGATGCACTGCTTCGGGGGTCAAAATGTAGATCTAGATCTAGATCTATATCTAGATAGTAACTGTTTGCCGCAGATCACACAAATTATTATTTTCAAGAAAATTTGTCACCTAACTGTAAAATATCAAATTATGAGTTAAAATGTAGGCCGGCACTATATCTCCGAACGTTCGGGAAAATAAAGCTGGGCACTATTTCTCCGAACGTTCGGGAAAATAAAGCTGGGCACTATTTCTCCGAACACTGTGAAATCTCACCCTTTCCCGCAAATTTCGGATATTATATAGATCTATAATTATAGTATAGGCCTACCAAAGATTGTTCGTATACAATATGGTTCAATCGGTCCTAAAAAAGGTCCACAGTAAATATTTATAAAAAGAAATGCTACAATTCCAAACAGTTTTTCCTACAGATATGACGTTTGCCTATGAAGGGTGCTGCTCTTTTTACGGAGGGTTATTGATAACGACACATAGAACTGGCATCTGCGTTTGTCACTGCTGCGACCAATGTACTGACACTGGCAAGCCCCTTAATGTGTGTGATCCATAATTTACATGTAATATCCTGCACTTTTTTAAAATTACGCACATTTAGGGTTAAAACAGCCAAATCTTCTTCAGACAGGTGGACACACGCCCTTATTTGTTAATGTTTGTTGTTGTTTGTGGGCTGTTCTAATTTTGATTTCTTTCTGTTGTGAAACCTTTCTTTTTCACGTTTTTACACTCATCTAAAAATCTCTAGACTAGCTAGCTCTTGAAAATTGAAATAGATATAGACCCAAAAATTTGCCCCTGTGTGTGTGTGTGTGTGTGTGTGTGTGTGTGTGTGTGTGTATGTATGTGCGTGTGTGAGTGTGTCTGTGTGTGGTAGTAAGTGGAGAGTGAGGAGTGTGTGTGTGTGTTTATTTTTCGGGCCTTATTTCAAATTTCAGCCTTTATTTTATTCAGTAACAGTAACAGTTTAAAGTATACAAAAATAGAAACACAGGATCCATTCACTCCAGGGCTCATGAGTCGTTCATCTCTTCCAGTTTCACTCATTCATTCAATTCCCGTGTTCTCTCTCGCGGCTCATCCCCGTCCTCATGACTTTCATACCCCACCCCCTCCCTCCAGGCACACACAAAGAAAACCTCACTCATTCCCTTGCACCCTGCGAACCATGGACAATAATACAGGCAAAACACTGCTTGGGCTGCATTCCTTTTGTTCGTGAGCTGTGGACCAGGCCAGGGGAGGGTCGGTGTCGTCTTGTAGTTGCTGTCACCTGTGGATACACTCGCACATTCTTCCTTTCACTTTCACCCACTCTTTCACTCACACTGTCTCTCCATCCACAGCTCAACTCGTCATACGTTCAAAAGTTGCCCACTGGTCATGTTTGGTTAGTGTGTGTACATGTGCATGATGGTGGTGGGTGTGTGGTGGGTGTTAGTGAAGGCTGTCTGTAGGCGGGCTTGCCATGCGGTGTTCCTTCCCAGACCAGAGGGCAGAGGCAGAAAGAAAGTTGGCGCCGAACTCTCGCAATAAATAGGCAAAATATCACGAGACCGGAAGCCGGAAACCATTCGGAGAAGTAAAGATCGGCACTATTTCTCCGAACGTTCGGAGAAATAGTCACTTCGTAAAATGTAACCCCCCATATTTTCTTTTACCCCAGTGGAGCAGGCCCTCCTGGAACCCCCTGATTGGTCCAAGCATGTCAGTCTCTATAATTAAGAACAATCATATTTAAAAAACTATTAATTTGAAATGGAAATGAAGTTGATATATTCATGTTCAGCGCATCAATATTTCTAGTAGAAAATGGACAACTGGTAGCAAAGTGTGAGACGGGAGGGAAAGTAAAAAAATACCTAAAAATTTGGGTAAAGTGCCTTTCCTTTAAGGACACAATTCAATGTCGAGCCCGCAACTCGAACCCCGACCCCCCAACCTCACGATTACGAGTCCGGTAGCTTAACCACTAGACCACCGACGCCACACACAAAAATTCTGGATCTGTACATTAACTCCTGTACAGATCAAATGCATCCTGTCTATTAGGCCTACTATACAACAAGTTATAGTGGCATTGGCACAGATTCTAGACTATACTCACATAGGACATAGATCTAGATCTACTAGATCTAGCTCTAGAGCCAAAGTTTGCCAAGGGCAATTCTCATTCAAACTAGAATCTAATAATATTCAGGATAGAATCTTTCTTTAAAGTTAAAGCAACTAGATTCTAGATCTAGAATCTAGATCTAGACTCTAGTATTAAACAGTTTGCAAAAGAACCAGTGCTTACCATAATCAGGAGTTGGTTGCATCGTGTTGATGCGAAGATACTCGCGGAATCTGCTAACTGCAGGGTTCTCAGGCCCATCGGCGTCTGCCATCTTTGCACAGTTGTGCGAAGTTGTGATCGTTGGTAGCCTAGGTGGCCAAATCTATCTCAAAAACAGGCAAATATGCAGCAGGTGCAACAAGTTTCAGCTGTCTAAACGACTTTTTAGAACAACTGCGAATTTATAAAACTGGGAAATCTAGATCTAGATATATTACTAGAATCTACACAAGAACACTGTGTATAGAAACTTGACGCTTCTTCGGCACACAGGACACAGACAATGCTTTGTAACATGAGGTCAACCGGCGTTTTCCTCAAGGGTCAAAGGTTGTGAACCTTGCCCTAGATTCGATTCAACAGCTGACAGTCTGTGATAAGTGATAACTCTACTGTAATAAGGCCAATATAATAAATATGCCCATGTTATCTCAAAAGATGAGTGTTCGATAATGTTTCTGAACACGCAAAACAGACAATACACACATTATCATGTTCATGGGGCAAGTGGCGACTGAAAGAAAACAGGCAACAGTTCATTCTTCGTTTAATTTAAATTTCGAGCTGCAGGTAAAATTTAGCTCCTCGGCTTCTATTTCTTCATAACAGAGGGGTGGGGAAATTGGCTGGGTCATAGAAGGAAAAGAAAAGATAAAACGTTGGAAGTAATTGAAAATATGCAAAATTGTTGGCACATAATAAGAATCTTTTTCTCTTTTCTTATTTCATGACATCAGATCTGGATCTATAGGCTGTTGTTTCTAGGCATGTAGGATATAGTAATGTAGCAGGAATAAGAATTAATTTGGACAGGAAAACACAAGTGTTTGGGAGGTCATCAGAATGACTGTGTTGTGTAGGTACCTTACTTTAGGCTACTTTTTCATCCTCTGTTGCCGTTATAAGCGTTGGGGGGAGATGTAGTTTTCTATAGTTTGCCAGCTCTGCAACTTTTTCAATTGGGATATTATACTTTCTCGGGGTTTCATTGACTCCCTCAATCGAGACGAGGTATCTTACCAAGGTCGTCTCGCCCTCAATCCATCTTTTGTGTAGGTACCAAATAGCAGAAATATTATAAAGTGAACAACTCAATGCCCCATGTGTTGTTAAGGCGCTCTTAGTAGCCTAATCATTCGAATCCCCTTAGGAGAGTTGTATTCTACGTGTGTGTGTGTGTGTGTGTGCATGTGTGTATGTGTGTGTGTGTGTGTGTGTGTGTGTGTGTGTGTGTGTGTGTGTGTGTGT